GTGGTTCACCTGTGGTTCACCTGTGGTCCACCTGTGGTTCACCTGTGCAGGGACATCCGGTTGATGATCCTGGAACCCTGCTGCTGGTCTGTCAGTCATAAGTATCAGGTCCTCGCAGACGGTCTCACTATCGAACAGCTGATGGCGTTTGTCACAAGTTTGAAGGTGGAGCTATACGCTGAAGGACTTGTTCAGGGGAACTTCACAAGTCAGGTGAGACATCACAATGCACACACACACACACAGAAGGGCAGGTCCAGATGTAGGTGCAGGTACCTCCTACTGGAAGACAAAAACATGTCAAGGACAAAAAAAAATACAAATACAAAACAGGTTAATTCATAGTGAAGAAACGTGGTCAGTTTGTCCTCCAGCAGTCTAAGCCTATAGCAGCAGAACTAAGGGACAGCTCAGGAAACCCAAGCTGACCCTAACTATAGGATTTATCAAAAAGGAAAGTCTTAATCCCAGTTTTAAACTGGACAATGTGTCAGCCTCATGGACAGAAACTGGAAGTTGGTTCCACAAGAGAGGAGCCTGAGAACTGGAAGATCTGCGTCCCATTCTGCTTTTGGAAACTCTAGGAACCACAAGTAAACCTGCAGTCTGAGAGTGAAGTGCTCTGTTAGGAAAAGGAGAGATATGATCTCTCCCAGTAACTCCAGTTAAGACTCTGGCAGCAGCATTTTGGATCAACTGAAGACGTTTTAAAGACGTATTTGGACACCCAGATAATAAACCATTGCAATAGTCCAGTCTAGACGTGACAAATGCATGGACCAGTTTTTCTGCATCATCTTTAGATCAGATGTTTCTAATGTTAGTGATATTACGCAGGTGGAAGAAGGAGGTTCTAGTAACGTTTTTAATGTGGGGGATAAAAGACATGTCCTGATCAAAAATAACACCAAGATTTTTAACATTAGAGCTGGAGGACAGATTAATGCATCTAAGGAGGGAGAAAGACTGAAACATTCATTCCTAAGGTGCTCAGGTCCAAAAACTAAAACCTCAGTCTTGTCTGTTCAACAGGAGAAAATTAAGGGTCATCCAGGTTTTTATGTCTTTAAGACATGCTTGTAGTCTAAGTAGCTGATTGGATTCATTGGGTTTAATGGACAAATATAATTGTGTATCATCAGCATAACAATGGAAATGTATCCCATGCTGTTTAATAACTTTACTTAATGGAAGTAAAATTAAAGCGTATTGGTCCAAGCAAAGAACCCTGAGGAACTCCATGACTAACTTTGGTGTATGATGAAGATTCATTATTTACATTTACAATTGGAGTCTATCAGATAGATATGATTTAAACCATTTTAGAGCTGTTCCTGTAATCCCAACATCATATTCAAGCCTCTGTAGTAAAATATTGTGATCAACTGTATCAAATGCCCCCCCCCCCCCCCCCACACACACACACACACACACACACACATCTCCATAGAGCTGTAGAGCTGCTTGTAATCTCTGGTGTTTCCTCAAACAGGAGTCCAAAGAGTTCCTGCAGCTCTTCACTGAGTGAGTATCGGGTCGATGCGTGTGTTGGGTGTGGTCAGTACGAGCACCTGAGGTGTCCGACAGGTGAACCGTGTGTTCTGGAGAGCAGCAGTTTCATGTGTTTCGTACAGAGCTGCGGTCGTTTCCTCTCCCTGGTTCAGTTTAGTCTTCAGTACAGAGACCTGAGGATCAGCTGGATCATGATGGGATGTTCTTCTTCTTGTGTTCAGGAAGCTGCAGTTCCAGCCTCTGCCTGCCGACGTCCCCGTGTCCTTCAGAGTGGTGGAGCTGCCACAGAAGCACCATCTGTGTAAGGTCAAGTCTCTGAACAAAGAAGACGCCAACTCTGAGGTCACCGTGTACTACCAGGTGAGGGGGCAGGTGCACGCTCACCTTTTTGCAGTCAAAGTGTATTTGGGTTGTGTTGACTGTTGCGTGTGTATGTGTGGTCCAGTCGGGCCTGAAGCAGCTCAGGGAGCACGCTCTGATGGAGCTGATGGTGGTGAGTTGAACTCCAGCACGAGTGATTTGATCTGCAGCCTCCTGAAGTCAGCTGACCTCTGACTTCCTGTGTTTGTCTTCAGATGCACATGGAGGAACCGTGCTTCAACTTCCTGAGGACCAAGGAGACTCTGGGGTGAGAATGTCCTCTGCAGGCTCCTGTAGGTACAGGTAACAGGCACGCTGGGTAAACACCTGTGGGCGGAGCTTCAGAAGCATGTGTGAACATGGCGGCCAACAAACCTGACTCGGTTTCACCAGTTCTGTCCGGAGGAACGGGACTAGATCACAGCGTGTGAGAAGCTTGTTGAAGGATTCAACAGATGCGACCTGAGTCACGGTACCAAACCCTGATGATGAAGATGATGAGGAGGACACTGAGGGAAACCTGCGACTGAAACTAATCTGAGTTCAAATTTAACTCAGTGAAACGCTTTAATCTGGTTTGAAGAACCCAACGATTCGTTCTGAGGGTTCTGAATCAGAAAGAAACCATCCTTCTCTCCTCTGGTCTTCTGCAGGTACCAGGTGTACCCAGCCTGTAGGAACACCTCAGGGGTTCTAGGGTTCTCCGTTACCGTGGGAACACAGGCCACTAAGTTCAGGTGCGCAGATCAAAGACTCTGATCCACTTCCTGTCCTCCCGTAGACCCACCTGTTTAGGGTCTGTTTTTCTGTCCGTCACTTTGGTCCCCCGTGAGTCTGGTCCTCCTTGAGTTCAGACCTGTGCCTTCAGGTGGGTTGTCTTGTCGTTCTGAGGTTTTGATCCGAGGTTCTGGTTGCAGCTCAGAGTTTGTGGAGGCTAAGATTGAGGAGTTCCTGCTGAGTTTTGGAAGTCGCCTGTCGGTTCTGAGTGACGAGTGCTTCAGGGCCCAGGTGATGGCTCTGATCAAACTGAAGGACTGCGAGGACACCCACCTGGGAGAAGAAGTGGACCGGAACTGGTTCGAAGTGGTGACACGGCAGTACGTCTTCGACAGACTCAACAGAGAGGTGATCCAGTTTTACTGAACCTACTTTTTTTCTATTTAACATAGACCAGTCCAAACTGCATAAGAACTGGTTCTGATCCCGAGAAGTAACTGAAGGTTTCAGGTCCTGACTGGATCCACAACCCATGTCCCATCTGTGCTTCTGATTCTGTTGAGTTTCTTTAGTATTTTAGTATTTGACTACCTGGTAGTACACGGTGACCTCAGAGTTGGCGTCTTCTTTGTTCAGAGACTTGACCTTACAGTGTTATTACTTCTTCTTTCATCTGTTCCCTCTTCAGGGGTCTCCACAGCAAGTCATCCTCCTCCATCTCACTCTGTCCTCTGTGTCCTCTGTCCTGACTCTGTCCTCTGTCCTCACTCCAACTACCTCCATGTCCTCTCTAACTGCATCCATATGTCTCCTCTTTGTCTTTTTCCTGCAGCTGCATTTCTAACATCCTTCTACCAATATACCCACTGTCGCTCCTCTGGACATGTCCAAACCACTGTCCCTCCTCTGAACATGTCCAAACCACTGTCGCTCCTCTGGACATGTCCAAACCACTGTCCCTCCTCTGAACATGTCCAAACCACTGTCCGTCCTTTGGAGATGTCCAAACCACTGTCCCTCCTCTGGATGTGTCCAAACCACTGTCC